ATAATAGACCCTTGGCACTCTGATTAATAAAAATCATACATTTTGGTCAAATAGAAGCATAAAAAAAGTTCACACTTTAAAAAATCGTTCGATGCGACCTCTGATGCAACCCGATTTGCAAAATCATTTCTGGTTGTCTCGAAAACAAGCCCAACGTCAAAACCTGATTTCTCATGAACTATTACTCAGATTTGGACCTATTTTTTTTTAATGTAGTCTTTCCGGGAGCTTTCGATTTGCCTATTAGCGATTTGCATTTTTTGTTGTTTTTTGGAAATTATTCCATTTGTTAAAAAAGAAAATTCTTCGGATTTTGAAAAAAAAAATTCCACAGTTCGCCGATTTGCAAGAATCGTCGGGCCAATTTTTGGAAATGGTTGTCTTAGGGTGCCACTATCAGATCTATACAAAAATTGAGAACGCACTGGGAGTCACCCAGTTTGAAAGACAAGGCATCCTTTTTTTAATTTGTTTATTTAATTAATCAATGACTATATGATACCTACGGTGATCGGGTTTGTTATATTGTTTTGTCATCAAAAGAAGTGACCAAATTTTTAAAAAGATCGGATGCATTTTACTTATTAAAAACAGATTGTTAACGTTCGGCATTCCTTTTTTCTATTTTTCCTTAACGGCCGGCCAGGGGGACTATGATTTTCGGATTCAGCAGATACACTTGGTTTCGTTGAGTGAAGTGACAATATCCAGTTTAGAGTACTTTTGGAGCTAATTTGACTGGACTACATGGCCGCAAGCGGCAAATGAAGTTGAGGACCTGGCTAGTTTAGTAGCCAAACTTGCCTGTCTGGACTGTCAAATTGATGTAGTTTCGGTGTAGTTGCTGCTTGTAAATAGTGTGGGAAAGTTAGTTAACATTTTTCCGGAGCAATCAAGTGGAACCAGTGGCGTGGCGTAGGGGCGGGGGGCGGAGGCGCCACTTTAGTAGGGGCGGCAGTGTCAATATCCCGGGGCGTTTTTGAAAATAGCTAAAAGTAGGAAACGAAAAAATCTTGTGGACATACATTTAAATTTTGATTTCGTACGCAACGACGATGGCCATCGACGGACTTGAAGATGGTTTATCTGACAAAAACTGAGGCGAAAATAAAATACATGACGAAGAGGCTTCTGGAATACATACAAAAGTTTAAGCTTCTGTCCTCAATATACTCCAATCTCTATCAAGCAGTTCAAATATCATTATCGTCTTTGAAATTCTAGGTTTCTAGGTTCGACTTCAGAAGCATTGTTGGATATATTCTTTTTACCGCATTACAAAAAAAATTGAAAAAATATGTAGGTACGCTGTTTTCTGTCTGTCTGTCTTTATTGTACTGTGTGTTGTTCATCTCTCACACGGATCATACAGGTATCAAACGAAAGCTTATACATAGAATATGTCAAGAGGTGAGCCCCCCCCCCCCCTCCTCTAAACAATCGCTCGCTCTAGAAGTACTCAGATCCAGAATAGAATACGAAATTTGAATTCTTTTTTAATAAACGATAGGGAACTCAAAACCTTCACCAGCTCCTAAAACATAGGGCGTTTTTGGGGAAGATGAAAAGGGGTGAAAATCGTATGACTGCAATGGAAATGTTGTAAATCAGGAAAAACTCTCTTTCCAGTCGCTTTCTCACAAAACCCCATATTAACCGAAAAAATCGCGGAAAACCGTCTTTTTGTTTTTTATTGTTCATTTTCGCAAAAATGATTTTCTTTTAACGGGACTTGGTTTACATATACTTTTTTTATGATTCAAATGGGTACAAATTTTTTCAATATAAAAAATTGAGAAGTTTTCCAAATATTCGTTTTTTCGGCAAAAAAACTTTTTTTCAAACGAAAATTGTCCTTCAGAGATTTATCGTAGACAGTTCTATTTGGTGTCATTTTCTTCGTTTTTATCCTATACTTTTGGGTAAAATAAAAAATTATTTACCATGTAAAGCGCCATTAAAAGATCTCTGACCACGGTTCTTAAAATGTGGGATTCTCAACATATCCGAATAATCGTACGTCTCAAAAAGCCATGTCACCTACTTCGACATGACAAAAGTAGAAAATGTTCCTGACTCAATTCGACGAGTCGGGATCGGACACTGTCGGAGTAACGTCAACATTTCTGTACCTCTGATTGGCTGTCGTGTCGTGATCCGACGGTGTGTGAATTATGCATAAGATAGAAACAAAACTAAGAAATCACTACGTAAGTATAACCCGCTCGGGGATGGCGCCCAGATGTCGCCTACCCCACATCATATAGCCCCGTCCCTAAACTTGTTAATCGTTTTTCAACAAACGTTCTCCTACGGGCGCGCATTTGCTGGCGGCCAACCAGCCAGCCGGCCGGCCAAAGTGAGATTAAAAGCCACCTTTTTACAAAATTTGCAACAATTCACAAAAAATTCGAAAATATTGTTATTTTTCATATTCATATGAAGCTCTATTATGAGACCTAGATGTTTATGATAATACGTGTCTGTTCAAACACAGAAATAAGAGGTTCTCTTGTTCTCGTTTATTTGTTTAACCAGACACCATACAGAATAAAAATTCCAATTACATGGCACTGGAGCTCTGAACAAACATTAGGACTTATAAGATCTAATTTGATTTTTTATTGCATCGTGAAAAAAGTCGATATCATTCACTGAGGAGAACTTATTTAAAGTGATCAAGATCTTAATGGGGAAGTTGTGTTACTAACTGCAAAATAGTATTATTTTTCCTTAGCTTACCAAATTATTGAAGTAATTCGGAAGAGAAAACAGTTGAAATTTGGCAAAGTTGCATATTTTGATGCTTAACAAAATGCCGTTCTGAAACTGAGAAAATTGCAACTACTTTCAGTAAAATCGTTTACCGAACTTATTTAACAAGTTAAAAAGTAATCGTAAACGATTTACATAAAGCGCATTTCCACTTGCATTCATTTCCCATTTGTAAGATGCAACTTCTGTTAAAATCGTAAAAATCCGCCCACAAATATGAAAGATAGCGTTGCGCATGGGCAATCCATTGTTGACGTGCTACTTCAATTTCAGTTTATGCGAAGAATTTCATTTCAATTCTTTTCTAAATAAGAAAGTTGGAACTGCGCATGCGCAAACCTAAATTTTAAAACTAATGTTAGATTTTCCTTTGTTCCAAGCGCCTAAGTATCAAATTTCACTTAAATAGTTCCATAGATAAAAAAGTTGACACTGCGCATTCGCAAAATAAAATTTTGAAACTAGCGCTAGATTTTCCTTTATTCCAAGTGCCTATGTATCACATTTCATTTAAATTCTTCCATAAATAAAAAAGTTGGCACTGCGCATGCGGAAAACCAAATTTTGAAATTGGCGTTTGATTTTCCTTTATTCGAAGTGCTTCTGTATCAAATTTCGTTTAAATTCTTCCATAAATAAAAAAGTTGGCACTGCGCATGCGCAAAACCAAATTTTGAAATTGGCGTTTGATTTTCCTTTATTCGAAGTGCCTATGTATCAAATTTCGTTTAAATTCTTCCATAAATAAAAAAGTTGGCACTGCGCATGCGCAAAACCAAATTTTGAAATTGGCGTTTGATTTTCCTTTATCCCAAGTGCCTATGTATCAAATTTCATTCAAATACTTTTATAAGTAAAAAAGTTTGCAATTCGGTTTATAAATGGTCGAGATGCGAAAAGGGCACTGTGAATTTTGAATCGATTCGATTCAACTTTTGGCATTGCGTATTATATGGCTAAATCTATGCCCATATTGAATTTCATGCAATTCAGTTCATAACTAACGGAGATGTAAAAGCGATCGAACATTTCTAAACAAAGTTATCGTTCACACGGACAGATAGATGGACAGACAGACAAAGGAACAGACGGACAGACCAACAGGCAGACGACAGATAGCAATGCAAAATTATAAACGATCTCTAGGATCGTTAATAAACGGCAAAAGTGTAAAATTATGGAACATGTAAAAAACGGTTTTTTGTTTTTTTTACAATAACTTTTTTTGTAAGCGGTACAGAAAAAATTCCTTCCTTGGTACAAGACTCGACACCATAACGAACCAAATAGCGAAAAAAGTAGAACAATAGCTCTTAAGATAAAAAACTAGTAGCGTCGCAAAGTTAGAGGACGGACGGACGGACGGACAAAGTGGCCACAATAGCGCATTTTTTTTTTTTTGTGTAAATGCGCTAAAAACTACAAGCTCTTCTACCAGAATAGCTATTGAACGGCCATTGGAAATGTCGATCACTGGCACGCTTGAGGTACTGTCGGAAAATAAATGTGTCTTTTTACAAAATGCCTTGATCCGTGCATAAAGTTATGTATGTTTCGTTATGCCTTTACGACATAAATAATTACTTTTTTTGAAAGTCTGGATGAGTAAACGGAAACTACCACCACTTAATATTCATTCCAACGCATATGTATGCATATATAAATACGTACCTACTGTTTATGCATGCCAACAGCGTCTCGGGTAAGGATCTGTGAAGTTCGTCCTGTCGCTTTTTGCTCTTTAAATCCAAAAACTCGGTAACGAGCTATAAACGCCCATACGAGTTTGAGAAAAGAGGAGTTTGAGATAGAATTACCAATATAAAGTCTCGGTAGTCCTATTTCATGGAGGGAAACAGTTTTAGGAACAAGCTTCCCTTAATTGCTCAAACTGAGACCCTTAAGGCACGATTTAATTTCTTTTAAACTTGGGATCTTTCAACTGCCAATTAAGGTAAATTGTTTTCTAAAACTTTACAAACGATCCTAATGACTATATCAAGTAAATGTACACCTGTGCATTAACTACGTTTAGTAAGTACACCAGGCAGCTGTCACCATTTCCGAGTTTGTTTGGAGTGTCACCGTGCACTTTAAAGTTTCATGTCGTTATATGTATGTGTTTATTTGGTATCGATGTACTGCAAAGTTACGTATCTTTTCTTTCTCAAAGGAGAGCTGGATTTCAAATAGTGTAATTGCAAACAGCAGTCCTCTTTCTAAACCGGATGTAATTTTAATTTGCGTGAGTGGATCCGGCTATCTTCGAACAGAAAGTTATAATTAAAAAATGTTTCCACTTCGGCTAATTATCCCTATTTGGATTAAATTTCAAAATCAATACGGAAGTGGGCGAAATACTGGCGAGTTTGCTTTTTTCATTCATTTATGGTGATTGATTACGTTGAATGAGTGTACAGTGTCAACGGAAGAGGAGCTTTTATACAGTAATGGAACAATTTAGTTTACAGTAAGTAGTTTGGCAAATTCTAAATTTAGAATTCCTTTTGGAAAAACTTTTCCAAATACTTCACTAGGGCGAATTCCTATTAAACTTTCCTCGAGCGTTCCCAATGCATTTGCAAATTTGGGTGAAGTATAATTATTGTGGAATCTCACAGTACAATCTATGGGGTGTAAAAATCGTCGTTTTTTACTTTAATTTTAATTGGGAAACATCTAAAATAGACACTTTCCACTTCTAAATAATAACGATGACATCATTCCTTTAAATGATGCTTGCTCAATGCTCATGCAACGTCTGACAGGAAAGGTGTGGTGCACGCAAAGTCGTTATTGAAAAATCCACCAAAGTTACATCGCATCGTTGAGTGAAGGACCTAGATCCTTCACTCAACGGTTACTTGATATAACATTAATTCAAGTTCTAGAACGATGAGTTAAATGAACACTTTCTTTATATCTGTCATACCAAACCTGTTTATCTTACTTGTCGGGTTAGCGACTTCCTACGACTTTCTCTAACAAATGGAAAGCGATTTTCCACGCTTCTTTCAGAAGTGAGCCGGATAAAGCTGACATTTTCGCTGCACAAGGTGCGATAATAGAATTTTTTCGGCTTTCATTGTTCCAAAAGTCACAAGATTTGTTTGGTAAACAAGGAGTTAATCTTGTCTGGAGCCAGTAGGATGATTAGGACCCCGTAAGATTTGTTGGACATACGAGATTTAAAATTTTATTCAATACTAAAACGGTAAACTCAATTAGTGCATGTATAACTGTAGTAAAAACAATAACGGTATGGACGGTTGGAATCCAATTATTAGTCGTACATCAAATAAATAATAATCTTGGAAATTTATGCACAACAACCGTTGAAACAAATACTGACTTCTGTTCAATTTAAATTTTATTTTTGGTATCAAATTTATAAATGAAATGGTGAAAAAATGCGTATTAAATATTACCTAAAATATAATAAGTAATTTAGAGAGGGTTGTGAAATTGGAAGTAAATTTTGAAGTAGTATATGCACAGCATGCGAGGTTTCCTGTAAGAAAAATTTTTACAAAATTTTGTTTGTATCGAAATTCATAATAGGCAAAGATAATCGAATAATTTGATGAAAATGTTGAACTTATTAAATAATTATTAATTAATATAATTAGTAGTGTTATCCATGTATGTTGTAGTGTAATGTGGACGTTATTTCGGTCTCAACACCAAAAAATAATAACGGGACACTCTGTAATAAGCACAAAGTTGGTTTATTGTGTCGGAATTATATCTCAGTGTTGTCTTTCCTTTTAGAGGTGTGGTTCTTGTTTAGATTTCATTGATTTTGTAAATTGTTTATTTAAAATTGTGTATTTATTTGTAAAGCGTGAAATTGCCTGTTAAAATGTAGACTTCTGGTCGTTTCCGATAAGGAGTTTATATCGGACGAAATTTAATTAACAGACGTGTTCTTACCTCTGTTAGAAGACGTTAGGTGTTTCGAAGAATTGTGCATTATTTTCAGCGTAAGTCGTGCACCGGTAGCTTGGTGGGTTGTGTTGTTGGAAAGAGACGGCCGGAATAGTGGGCTTTATTTGGCACACGAGTTATTTTACAAAAACTAAAATGGGTAAGAAACTAGGATACTTGTCAGATTCATGCCTAAACCAGTCGCTAGCGTGGAATAATTATTTTGACCAAAACCACAAGAGTTTAGAGTAAGTAAATTTTAAATTAAATTTTCCGGGACAGATTTGACGGAGGCGACCTTTTTTGGAAGCAAGTTTTAATGAGTGCGAATCCTCCAAATTCGAATTTATGGGGACGAATCATTTGGAGCGAAATTATCGCGGAAGACGGACACTTTGTTATGATGGAGCAGACAATTGTGTTGCTTAATCTTGTTATCTGTTGTTGAGTCATTGTGGTTATAATCAAGGTAAAGAATTCTCCTTTCAAAAGGAAAGGACACATACGCCTTTATTATCCCTCTCTTATTATGGGCCCTCAACAGCCTTTCGTCCAATTACAGAGTGACCCGCATAATGTTTTTTAGAGGTGCCCCTGCAGAAGATCTTAAGTTGATTTGGGGTGGTGAAATTTGCACTTTCGGACAAAAGGAACCATATACAAAAAATAATCCCCACGAACTTTCAACTTCGGTCCAATTACAACACTTCTCAAACCTACCTAGCTCTTTAATGAATATTTTCCTTAGTACACCCGCACCCCGACTCAACAAAATAAATCAATTCTAACTTTAAATTTCTGATTACAAGGAAACAATGAATGAATGAATCAATAAAATAAATCGTAATTGAGCATGAGGCTTCGCTGTTCGTCGGTAAAGGGATCGAATGAACACCCAACTTGCATCATTTTACATAAATAAAATTTATTATACAACTACACACGAAATTAAACAATAAAATCCTATCTAACAACAATTGGACTACAGTGCCCGAATAAACAAATACCAGGATATCTTAAAATTACATACAGTTTTCGAGTTACAATACTCCAATAAAATCCGGATACACATAAACACTAATTAACTATCGGAAACAAATGCACCTAATAACACCCAAAAACTTGGTCTTCCAAACAAGATGTAGCGATGTTGATTGTTGTATCTGGCTGGCGCAAGATGGAATCACAAACGCTTAGTAACCAAGCCAACCAATTAACCAGCCTGTCACACGACACACTTTATATATGTATCGCATATACATTTGTTTTACCAATGGAAATTTAACCCCCTTCAGAGTGCTTGACGTTGATTTTTTGTGGGTGCGATTTTGACGCTAGTAGATACAGGTGTTTCATATAGTAAAGAAATGGGTGGCAGAGGGGATCAAAAGAGCAATTTTTTCCAAATAAACATTTGAGGCCCACCATCAGAAAAAGGAGTGAAATTTGCACTTCTTCTTTAAGTTTTTTCTCAACAACCATAAGAGTGATATATTCACGGGTACTTCGTAATCCTCCGCCCTTAGAGAAGTATGCGAAGGCATAACTTTTGTTCCTCTTTATCTGTCTCCTATCAATTGGGTCTTCAACTCAAAAGCATCAAAACTTATCACTGAATCAGTGATAAAGACCATCTGTGTTACTGTATCCCCGTATAGAAAACTTTGAACTTGCGAATCGCTGATGAACGAACTTTCAATTCAATCAGAGGATAGTTTCTTAGAGTGAAATGTTAAACGAATCTTCACGAGCATTGCCCATTATATTAAGAAGATGAATTTGATAGTTATAACCAAACCACCAAAAGGTAAAGATCATGAAAATCATAAATCTGTAAAATCCTAGGAATATATTTGCGACTGACACATTTCTATTTAAATACGCCACCATTATCCTCCCGTTCCCACTCGCAAATATTGCAGTAGGTCAAAGTGAAACCTTCACTTGCTTCCTTAATACACCCACACGAGTCGCTTTTATATTTTATTCTCCACGGCAAAATATCTACTACCTATATTTATTCTACATTCTGAATTCTTAATATCTCCCTTAGGGCGTTGTAGGGTTGCTCCTAAGGTACATTTCTAAGTAGTGCGTTTCCAACAATGCGTCGCGGTATTAACGTTGGTCCCTTAAATTGCCTACATTATACACACCGTATGTAATCCCAATTCCAATCTATCGATTACGGGCGCCGTTAATACCTTCCACTTCAGAGTTCAGCAGACTTGAGGTAATACGAACGCCATTAAGTTTCTCGTTAACAACATTTTACTTGTGCCGTTAAAAATACGCCCAAGTAAATTGAATTTAATTAACTTTTTATAATCCTAATTCGTTTTCACGATCAGAAGGATCTCTCTAAGGAGCGTAAATCAGAGACGAGATCGTTACACCTTTTTGCTTCGCTTTTGACTCGCTACTTCGTTATGCAGATTAACAAACACGTTAAAGTTTAAATAGACACGTTGTTTTCAGGCTTAAATGTTTACGCACTTGCTTTACAAATCCGAACTTTTGCTTTTGCTTTGTAAACACCGGGAAAGCGTATTGAGCCAAACTGAAACAAATTCCAAACCACGTAAATCAAATTTAAAATCAAAACTTTCCTTCAAGGTATGTGCTCCTAATGTATGCGTATGCGGATCAAGTAACATACAGAAGTAAAACGAATAAATCTTTTTTTGCAAGAAAAGTTAATCCAAATAGATTACATTGCAGTCATAAGTTTTGAAAATTGCACTTCTCGAGGTTAATCTAGCCCACCTCCCCCCTAAAAAAATACTGGCCATCCCTGCTACTTCATTCTGGCTACGGGTCTGCGGAAAAGGTTGCGTTGAAACTCAAGGGGGGAAAATTCGGTTTAAAACGCGGGATTTAAGTTGAACGCCCATAAGTCACTACCGGGTGATTTTGCGTTTTTGTGAAAGACGTTCCGCGAGGACGTATGTTAAAATCGAGCACCTGTAATCTGACGCAAAGAATTACGTTTTGTGCGAAGAGTTAAATGTTGAAAAGCACGTGATTAAAGGATAATTTCCCTTCAATTAAAAAATCAGAAGTATTACGACCAATACAAAATAGTATCCATAAAGCAAACGTGCGGATCAAAGTTTGGCGTCCCTCAAAGGACAGAATTAGAATCGCACATATGTACTTGACGATACCATACACCCTACAGTAATTTACAGGTGACCGACTTAACAACGCTTATGGCTCAACGGAAATTCTCTCGAGGTTCGCCGCATATTCTTTAACGCCCTGCGGTATATTGCAGGTGGTCGAAGCGCTGACCGGTTCACGCTAATCATCTCGCGGTTCTACGAAACTTGGAATGACATAAAAAATATACCTACCCTGCGATTATTTGTAGGTCTCCCAACTTCGCTCACGCTTGAACGCCTCACGGTCCTCTCAAAACAATCAATCACTTACTCTTTTATCTCGTTGATTGAGACCCAGTGCTCGTCCACTAATATCCCCGATTAGCTCTCTCGCGACTAATAGAACGAAATAGTGTTTTCTGTGCCTCATAAAAGTAAG